ATCTAAGTAATTTTTTCATTTTAAAATAAGAGCATTTCTTCCTTAATTGAGTAGGTTAGGGAGACACTTTGCTAATGGAATAAGACTATTTATAATTAAAATAAGAAACAACAGCAGTCTCATACTTCAAGTGCGTAATGTCTAATTATTGTATTTTAAGGGTAAAAATGCTAATTCCATTGGAAGATCATCTTATTTACCTACTCAAAAAGGTAAATACACTTGATTTAAGACAGTTTTACAAATTTCAGATTGTTTTTGCAGTGCAAATACAGAGGTTTAGATTTGAACAATGAAAGGTTTCGAATATTGTCTCTGTCCAGAGGGAGAAAATTCCAGAGTTTGGGAGCAGAGAGGGATACAATTATATTCCAAATATGGCAGGGTGCCAGTAGAGCTGCTGTAAGACTGGGTTTATGTGATGAAAAGAGGGGGTTTTGGTGAGGCAGGCAGCTGAATTCTTGACCATTTGGAGCTTATGCAGGGATTTTTGAGGAGGACCAAAGAAAAGAGTTTCAATAGTTGATGTGGGAAGACACAAGGCTATAAATAACAGGATTTTAGTTTTCTAACTGTTAAGGTAATTTCTAGATGTTAAAGGTGAATCGTGATATCAATTCAGACAGCCATAAGATTAGTGAGGATAGTGGGAGTGTGGAATTTAACTTCCAAAAAAAGATAGAGCTGGGTGTCATCCTCATAACAACTAAAATGGATGCTAAATTCCTGGAAGATATTGCTGAGGAAAAGGAGATAAATGATCAAAAGTATGGTTCCCAGAACCAGACATAGATGAAAACTGAAGGAGTTAAGTAGAAAGAGCTGAGTGTAATCAGCAGATAAAGTAACAATTAAACTAGTAAAGCAGGATGTGAGTGATGCCACTGAAAGATAATCTTGGGAGAAGGATGAGAAATAATATTGAAGCCCATCATTACATCGCCAAGAATGAGAGTTGAAGGTACACCAGAGTCAGAAGCCATTAGAAAAGCTCTTTTATATATTTTTTCTATGAGAGTGGATTGACTACACGCCATGTTACCAAAGAAAATAGTGACTACCTGTAGCCTTCGTGTAAAGGTCACGGATTAGCAGACCGCGGTCCGGATCCGGACCCACCTGCTGGCTGACCCAGACCCAACCTGATTTAAAACATTTATAAATGAACGCAAGTTGTCTGACGACAGGGTCTAACCCTCAGATCCCACATCATCCATCTCCGCTCCACTCCAGACCTCCTGCGCAAAGCAAAGACTACAGCCTCCGCTGTTCCTCTCATCTTTCTCTGCTCCGATTATCTCAGAACTCGAGGAGAGCATAAACTTTATTATTATTAAACTCAGGAGCAAAACATGCGGAAATGAACCCTTCATTTAATATGACTTTAAGGACTTTTAAAATATGTTTTATATGAACTATGTTTGTTCTCTGCCTCCAAACTCAGCATCTCTTCATCCAGGCCTGAGATGAGAAGTTTCTTTTGAAGTTGTGAGAGGCGCTCTTGGGCGTTTTGACTGGATTTGAGGAAACTTTTAAGCCTCCCAGTATAAAATAAATGTTTTGATCGAGATGAGAAATGCTTCCTGGTATGTTGATGTACCAATAGTTTGCATCCAATCATTTAATTAAAATATTCTTGGGAATAGGTATATAAGCTCACGAATGAGCCTGGAATGGCTTGAAAATGGCTTTGTCGTCATTCAAAGGTTTAAAGCCTTGCAGGGCAGCCTAAAGCCCACTGCTCTCATTAAGCCATAAAAAAATAAAAGAAAATGTCAGTTCAGGTGTTTTACAAAATATGTGAGTCAGGAAATTGTCTATTTACTAAACTGAAAACTGAACGATTTTTGTTCTCTACCTCAAAAAACTTTCTTTTTTTTATCTTTTTTTTTTTATTTAAAAATTCAATGTATAACATGGATGCATAAAAAAACTCATTTTATTTCAGTGGTAAATTCTGTTTAAAGTATCAGATTATAATTAAAAATGTCTCTGTACCGTTACTGGTTGATTTTCTTTATTTGGACCTCGCTGATTTTAAATTGGTGACCCAAACCTAGTGTATATACTGTATAGGCCCACCTATTGATTACAAGATTACACCTGTCATTCTAATTGGTGGACATGCATCACTTTTTTCATTTTTTTTTATCAAATCAATATTATCATTCTTGTCCAGACCTGTTTCATGAGTTTTATTTTTGAAAATGATTCTGTTGAATCAAAGCTTAAAAGAAATGTCCGACTTTTATTTCTTCATTTTCATAAAATTTTCATTAATATTGCTTTTGTCAGATTCAATTCATTTCTTTGATCTTAGCAGGCTTTTCTTTCATTAAACATGTGGTACTGATAATATCGCCCACATGTGTATTAAGGCAAAAGGAACACGCTTTTTTCTCTATCATACATGAAATCTGAATAAACCTTTTTATGTCCTACGTCAGGATCAATATAATTAGGAATTTTTTTTTAAATGTTAGGCTAGAATAATGATAGAGATCTTTGTTCGATTATCTTCTTGAAGATAAAAAAGGTAACATAATTTTTAGTTCATATTTGGTAATCCTGCCTTTAAACTGTGTAACTTTACATCAAATGTTTTTTAATATCCTTCCACAAGCTCCTCAAAAAAGTTGGCTTATTTCTTCTTACAGTAATGTTGTAACCGAGCCTTCAGAGGAGTAAGTATATTATTCATTATCAATATAGGCTATAATATCTGCTTTGGTTGCTTTTTACTATATCTTCCGATTCATTCTTAAAATAAACTTGCGACTTATGCAGTGAGGATGATTAGTTTTATCCTAACGAATGGGATATCTGGTTAAGTTAATATGACTGTTTAGGTAAAAAAAAAAATTATGTTAGAACTGTAAATATACAGTCATTCGTTTATATTACTTTTTTATGTATTTATTAGTTTTCAAGGCTGCACTTCAAAAAAAATTAGAGCTGTTTTAAACGAAATTTATTTTTGTATACACTCTTGTATACAAAATGACAAAATAAATCTGTCTAAGTGTAAGTCTAAGGTAGATTAAACAAAACATTATGTTTATACCTTATGGTATTATACTACGGGTAGGAAAAACTATAAAATTTATGGAGATTTTAATCCTTTAATATAACGCCTCTTTCATTCTGGCATTTAGCAAGTAGAAATAGATTTCATAACTGACTGTGCTGTAAAAATAAGTATCTAATTTAATTAATTATACTTTTGGTTTGATATTTATTAATAAATCCATTTAATACTTTCCATATATAATGAAAAGATGGTTTATTTCAGTAATTAATGTCAAAAATAAAACATGTAATTGTAGATAAATTACAGAGTGATATATTTCCTTTTATATAACTTTTCATGTATTTATATTCATTTAGTAGTTAATCATTTAATCTTGGGCAGATAGACTGTTCTGGTAAAAGATACAAAGAACAGAGTGTACCCACAGCAGCAGATGATATGACTATAAACCATGACCCCTCTAAAATATAGATCCAGTGCTTTTCCGTCTATATAGGCCTTTGAACCACTTTGCAGTGTCAAGTACCTTTTTCTTTATTTCCACTTGAGATTCTTCTGACATGGTTTGGTTTAAAAGTGCCTTAACATAAGGAATGAAACAGTTTTCCTCAGTACATCTGTGTGTGATAGCTTCTGAATCACTGACTCCAGCTGCAGTCCTCACCTTGTGAATCTTTCACAAGCCTTTGAATCATTTTTGCTCCGCAGTGATTTCAGGGTTGTGGTTATAGCTATTTGTTTTTCACTCTTCTTTACAACTGCTGTTCCTTCCACACAGCCTTCTATATTTTTAATATGCTCAGTGACCAGCCAGCTTTTTTCCTCTTTGCTTGTGTGTATTCATCTAGCCAAGGGGCAGTGACCTTTTACCTAATAACATTCAGACTGTTACTGTAAAACATTTCTAGTTATGTCCATGTTTTTGCTGCTGTTATTTATAATTCCTAATTTAAAAAAAAAATAAACTCAATAAGACATTTTTATGTACACTAGAAAATAATCTGAAGAATTACATAGGTATGTATTGTGTTCAAAATAGAAAAGCAGAAATGCAAACAGAAATATGGGATAAGCATTGTAATTGGTTTTTGGCAACAAAAACAAACAAACATTTAATTAATAAGCAAAGCAAAGTGGATGCCAAAGGATTGAAACAGGAGAATCCAGATAACAGCAATGACCTACACTTAGATACTGAGGGATATTAGGAGAATGAAATAGAGTGCAGGAGTGTTTATCAAGTAATATCAGGGTAATCCAAGGCAGAGAATAGGAAAGGTTATACACACACACCACCCACAAGGACCCTAACTAAAGTAACATCTTTGTTGGATAATGTCTCCCACCCCATGCATGAAGCTGTTGCTAAACTGGAAAGCTCCTTCAGTGACAGACTGCTGCACCCTAAATGCACCAGGGAGCGCTGTCACATATCCTTCCTCCCAGCACCTGTAAGACTTTATAACATCACTGTTACCAACAACTTTCATAAGTTGTTGCATTCATGCTGATTTTTGCACAGTTTCTGTCTTAGTCAGTTAAATAACATGCTGTTGTAATTTTTGCACATCTCTGCTGTTTCTGCTATTTTTTTTTACACATCCATTACTGTAAAAATGTCCACAGCTGTTTATTGATTATGTATCCTCCAGGTACACAGTATTTATATTGTAAAGACACTGTACAGTACAGTATTTCATTTGTTTATTTCTTAACTCTTTCATTTTGATACACTTTTCTAAGGTCCACATTCTGTGACCACTTTCACCTATCTATCTATCGATCTATCTATCTATCTATCTATCTATCTATCTATCTATCTATCTATCTATCTATCTATCTATCTATCTATCTATCTATCTATATGATCAATTTTGTGTTGGTGTGTCACTTTTAAGTGACATTTACATATGTCAAGATGCACTTTGAAGTTTTATTTAATTTACTTCAGTTCTTGCTTTTTCTGCAGGTCTTGACAACATCCAGAAGATTGCATCTCAGGGCCGATATGAGCTGAGAATTGACATGAGAGATGGGCAGGAATCAGTTTATGCCAATTATGACAAGTTTTCCATTGGAGATGCCAGAAACCTATATAAGCTCAGGATTGGAGAGTACAATGGGACTGCTGGTATGTACCTAAAGAATATTTTCATCAAACAGATATTTAACAATAACAACTATTATATGAGCCATAATTGATTTGAGAGCTGAGACCTACATAGCTTTTTCAGCTTTCCAATCTCTCCAAACTTTCTTTGTCCATTTAAATATATATGTTAATATGACCTTATGTTAAAAAAAGTATCTGTATTCCTGTAGTATTAATGAGTTAACTTCTATTTGCCAAATTGAACCCATGATACTTCAGAGCTTCTTTCTTCTATAGTCCACATAGTTACTTCAAAAAACACAGAACCATGTTATTATTAATTCTCTTTGGTATGTCTTTAATTCCCAGCTTATTTTTATATTTAATGCTCTTTTTCTAAATCCCAGGTGACTCTCTCAGCTACCACCAGGGTCGTCCATTCTCAACTAAGGACAGAGACAACGACATCGCTGTCACTAACTGTGCCTTGTCCTACAAAGGAGCCTGGTGGTACAAGAACTGCCACCGGGCCAACCTCAATGGAAAATACGGAGAATCCAGGCACAGTCAGGTAAATACTTTTACTCACTTTGTTTCCTTTCATTTACAATTTATACATTGATATATAACTGTGATAAGTTGTAAAACTGGCCCTTTTACTAGAGTTGTTCTGTTTCAAAGTGGACCTCTTTGCATTTAGTATATGGTTTAGTTTCAACTTTGTATGAGGAAAGAATTTATGAGAATTTATTAGATAAGAAATAAAATTGTGGATGATTTTAGATCATTTAACAGAGCAGGATGAGCACAGGGGAACTAATTCTGACAAAAAAAACTTACCACATAGGTTACCACTAATAGATTACCACTATTAGTGGTAACCTCTGTGTTAAGTAATTAGTGCTTTAAGCTTGCACTATTGTAGATAAAAAGATGTTGATGGTGTGCAAACCCATCAAAGGTTTATCCTTCCTATTCTCTGTCCTTTGAATAATCCCAAAACAATGTAGCTCACTCAGGACAAATACAAAAACAGAAAAGAGCTATTAACTTCCAGACTTTAACATAATTTAACCATCTTTTATATCAAAACATGCTGCAAGTTTTTTGTGGCTATGATTTGAATTCTATAAATGACCTGCTTTTGTGTACATCTCGAAATTAAAAATCTATGCAAATATAAAATTCCTTCCGCCTCTGGTGAGTGATTCCTCTATTTTCACTTTACTGCAATTCACTAACTGTGTTTTTCATTGGTCATGTGTCCCAAAAGCCGTCATTCAGATCAATTTGGTTACCTATCTATAATTTATTAGTATTCTGTCAACAAATATAGCCCACCAACTGTTCCTGAATGGCTAAAAACCACTGAGAAGAGGAATCATGTGACATTTACAAAAAATCATTTTGGAAGTTTCTGGCTCCATACCAGGGTTGCCAACCAGTCCGCCCACCATCTCCACATGTCAAAGTATTCCTGCAATCAATGCATGGATGTATGTTCAAAAAGGCTAATGTAGCTTTTTGTGGAGAATTGCTCTGCAAAAAAAGAGGAGATAATTCTTAGGACCTCCCATATTCTAAAACCTAAAAACCTAGGACAGGTTTGCCAAAAGGAGCTTAGCAAAAACACACATGAGACGTGAACAGAGTCCAACTGCCCGACTGGAATAAAGCACCAGAGATTTCTGTAGCTTTGCTTGTGGATATGATGTGGTGGCTGACTTTCTTTTTGTTATTTTTGGTTCAATTTGAATCAATCACCAATTAAACTAAATGTCCTCATTTGAAAAGGTTGACATTTTCAAAGTGCATTTTGGCATTTGCGAAAATCGACATGAAAGGAAGCTATTACAGCACACTGATTAAAGGTTAAAACCTCTTGAATTGAAAGACTAATTATTAGTGAATTAAAATACATGAAAGAGGATCCTAAGTGGTCTGCTGGAGGAGTTCAGAAACAACAACTGCTGCAGCTTTTCTTGTTAGATTTGCCAGTTGAAAAATGTGATCCATGGCATAAGCTGTTAAGAGGACGTTGCTGAACACCTCCAAATTCTTTCCAGTAGCTATGACCGAATGTTTGCACTGACAGAGCAAAGTTTTTATTTTGTTATTCATGTTAAGCTGCTGTTACAATACTGAGGTTACAATACCAACACCGGAAGCAAATCTTTGTTTTTTTTGTTTTTTTTAGTAGATAAGAGGTAATAGTATTTGGAACATATAAGTGATTTTGTTTTTAAACCCTTTCTTGACTAATTTCTGCCCTTTTTTATTTTTTTCTTTCGACCTGTTAAAGCACAGACGGCGGATGCAGAGATTAAATGCTAACAGTTAAAAAGAAAATCCTTACAGAAAGTCAGTAAATAAGAAGAAACAGATGGAGATGATGATCCAAAGGGCTAGACTGAGGCTATGAATAGAAGGTTATAATGGTGATGCAACTGGTCCTTCAATCTGGGACGCTATTTCAACTTGAAATAATTCAGTTATGGCAAAAATCCATCCTATTTACGCAAACGCTTATGTTCCACTAAGAAAATATGTTTTTCCAGCTTTATCTTGTCTGATTTCTCAAGGCAAAATAACACAAATAATTGTGTTCATGCAGCAAATTTATACTATAATTATGAGAAATCAGCTTCATACTTTAAGCTGGCCTATTAACCCAGAAAAGAAAGCATTTCGATTTAAAATGCCTTTCATATTAAAAGAGCATTTGAAATGTGTGTCATTGTTGCAGGGAATCAACTGGTACCACTGGAAAGGCCATGAGTTCTCCATTCCTTTTGTGGAGATGAAGATGAGGCCCTTCAACTTCCGTAGCATCAGCAGTAAGAGGAGACGATCCGTCCCTGTATAAGCAGGCTGACTCCACCCTGCGTAGAGTTATGGATAAAAAGGAGTTGGGGTGATATGGGGGGAGGGGGGTTACATCTCTGCTGTATGTGCACCTTTCTGACTGCAAATGCAGGCTTGAATGTGTGTTGGGCTCATTAGTGAGGCTGGGAAGACTGAACACATGAGAAATTAAACAAAGCTACTAATATTTTACCTAGAAAATTTTATAATTTAATAATTTGCAACTTGTGTTAACTGGATGTGGTCAGACAATAGCGGAAAAGTTTTGACACCACATCCGAACCCTGTCGACCTTTTCACCCCTCCAGTATAAGCTGTCTTTTCTGCTGTAAGTCTGCCCCGAGACAATGTTGTAATTTGTTAAATCTGTATAATGACAATGGTTGTGACTTCTGTAAAAAGGGAAGGGAAAACAAGACTTTTTTGGTTTCCCTTAACAAGCGATTTTTCCTTCCTCAAAATGCTAAGTTGTCCTCAGAATTACTTAGGAATAAAAGATAATGCTTCTTAGCAACAACAAACTGATACTTAAATCATCAATGTATTTCTTTGAAACTCGCATCTGTAATATACAGTATATATATATACACATATATAAATATATTTTTATAGCTAATTGTAGCTTGGTCCATCTATTTAATATGATTTGATGCCTTGGTTTTCAACACTCGATTAAGATTAAAAAACAATGATAGGCACTGGACTCATCAGAGTCAGGAGAAAAAGAGCAAAACTAAAGATCCACAATGACTATTGAACAAGTAGTTCACCAGCAAAATCTCCATTAACTTTATTTAATTTGCGATGTTGACTACTTTAGATAAATTACATAAAGTAGAGTAATATCATCTGCTTTATTTATTTGGTAGCCCCACTGAGAGTTTTTCCGCACTGACAGTGGAAACACAGCCAAGCTGTTGTTCATTCAATTTCATGAACAAATTGAGTTGCTTATTGGTATTTATCATCTCTTTGATTTCCCTTTTAAGTAAATTTGTTTAACCTTGCTGCTGATGTTAGGTTTGCTCACAGAGATGGTGCTGAAAGATGCAACAAAGACCTGTGTAATAAAGGTGCTCTGATTGGAAAAAAGCTCAGTCAGTTCTGTCACCAACATCTGTCTCATTTGTCCCACATTTTAAGCCTTTTGTAGTCAATGTGATTCGCCAGGGAAAAATGAAATTTACTAAACCCTATTCAGAGCTAAGTCAGTGTGGACAAAGTGCAGATTCAAGTCTGGCTTCTCTCCCGCAGCTGGCTGAAATGAACTCAACAAAGAAAGCAGAACAGAAGGTGGAGGGAAGCCAAGCCTTTCTTCTACTCACTTCACTGTTAAAGCTATTTCGCGAAACAATGGAATCCACTAACACTGCTGAGAGTGTGTTCCTCTAAGTGGGGTTGACGTAATCTGCAGCTTGCCAACCAACCATGTGTTCACATTGTCACAAGAGGTCATGGCCAGTTAAACAACTGCAGGTTTTTTTTGTCTGAATTTAAGGCAGACAAACCAAACAAAACTAGAAGACAGAAAGAAAATGACACCAGCAATTCAGGCAAGTTTTAGTCTTATTTATAGATAATTAAATATTTGAATTATTCATTTTTTCTTTTATTGTTTTCTTTATTTCAATTAATCCTTTCAGTTAATTCTCAATTTAAAGTAGACCAGATAATCATACTGTGTATATTATTTTTTCTTTAGATTGAAAGTAGTTGCCCTTCCCTTTACTTATACCACTCCTACTAATATACTTATGTAGATATGAACTTTGTGTTTCACTTTCTCTCCCAATTAGAGAAAGCCAATGCAGAAAGCCCTCTTGGGAATTTCTGTGGGCTGAATTTTTGTAACCACTGCTGTGCAAAAGGACTGATGGAGCATACTGCATGTTGACTGAAATGCTACCAGGAGCCTGAACGGGAACAACAAAAGTCTTTAGAATATGGTCAGCATGACTTGTGCACATATTCATTTGTTGTTCTGGCTGAAAGCTGCCGCTGATATACTGTAGTTTAAAAAGTTGATTTGAATCACTTTTTTTCTAACTTTAAGCCATTTGATCAAGATCAAATCTTATTGTCAAAGGATGTCAGACTCTCTCATGCAATATACATCCAATAGTTATTTATAGTCTAGTAGATGAACATGTTTCCTAATTTTATTATCTGTACTGTTATATTACTGTTCTTTGAGGTTTTGCATTGATGAAAACTGTTCTGGCAGCTTTTCTGAAAGGAAAATGATTGTTTTTCTTGTTCTATAAACATCTGTCATGCAAAATGTAAGATGCCTGTAAATCATTAAAACCAGTTTTGTCATTTTCTTTATTAAATCGGGATAGGTAAATGCTAATTTTTCTCATAAATGTACTTCTACTCAGCTATGAAATTCACACAACTTTCTTGTAACAGCTCATGCAATAAATATAATATATATGTGATGCCGCTGAGTTTTGGAGACAGTCATTATTTAAGACAAAAGCATTTGTTAATAATAACTTTAAGGTGTCTCCTGTATTGGAGTACTATTGAATGTGTGCTTCTGATTTGCGCCCTAAGCATTCTGAAGTTAATTCTTTGTACGGGGTATTCCAGCAGCTTTGTTTTATGTGTCTAAAAAAATCACAGTTAACTACACGCTATGATATTCTCTCTTCAAAACTTTAATGGAATTTGAGTTTTTTTTTTAGAGTGTTGACCAATGTCTATTGGGCCACCCTTTTGATAATTTCTTGACTTTTTAGCATTTGGCTATGGCTCATTTTTTGTTGTCCTATGATGTTCTTTACACTCCTGTAAGATTGCATCAGTGTTACTGACACATTGAAGAGTTTAGAAATTCATCTGTTAATCATTAAATCACTCTTTGCAATAATAAGGTTTTTAGTATTTTGAAATATTGTTGGGTTTTTTTTCCCCATCACGAGATATTTCTTGCAAAAAAACATTTTTAGTTAAATCTTTTTTTGTAAGTAGTGTGTGTGTTTGGGGGGGTTGGGGGGGGCATGATGTCAAATACGTACTTAAATAACTCCTTTTTCTAACATATAGGTTACATTTACTCTGTTATTTACGTTTTTAGTTAAAATGTAGTCTATTGATCTTAATTGTTTGGATTTATTTGTATTACTTGGGTTGTTACTAACATGTAGTGTGGATTTCATGTTAATTGTCTGATTAGAAATATATTTACAGAGGAAAATATTGACAGGCTTATTTTATTGGCTGTATATAAATGTGTTCACATTTTTTTCAAATTTAAGTGCTCTTTTGCTTGGCTCTAAAATCTTTTACAAGAGTAATTTTTTCTATACATTTTGTAGGAAAGCAAACAGGTTTTATCTTTAAGGTATGCCTGAAATAACACTTCAAAAGAGCCTCAAATATTGCCTTGATTTAATGTAGGAATTAACAATACTCTTATTTTCGCATCATGTAAAGTTTCATCAGTTTGATTCAATATTTAAAAAACATAGAAAAACAATAGCTACAAACAAATGGTATGTCTGGGAAACCAAAAGACATTCACTGTTTAAACATTTGTACAGACCTGATTGCTTAATTGTTCTTCATTTAACACATGTAACTTCAGTCACACTTGCCCATGTATATTACAAAATAAAATAAAAAAATCAACTGGTTTACATTTTCGGTATGCGTTACCAAGAACCTGTGACTTGCTGTGATCTGAAATCTTGACAGCATGAACATGTAAATGTTGATTAAATGGGATACTGACTGTTTAAATTGATTGAATTATTGTTGGATAATGTTGAATATTACTGTTCAATTTAGCTCTAGTTTGACCTAAACATGTACTATAAAGTTCCTTTTTTAAAACATTTTCTACATATTAATAAAATATTCAAATACCCTCATTCAATGACTGTTTTTACTTTGCTTTGCGGCTGTTTATTTCTGATTAGTTTATAGATGATAAGTCATAAGAAGTTTTAGCATCTATATATATTTGCACATGGCAGAAATTTGAGTCTTTGCCTTAGAGTTGGACAAAAGGTTAAATTATAGACTCACAAACAATCGAATTTCATATAACAGGAGTGAATATAAACAGGTAGATCAATGTAATAAACAACTTATGGTGTCACTATTAGGGATGTTTCATGAGCAAGGAACTCCAGAACTGGGAACTTTAACTTTCAGAACACCATGCAAAGACCCTGGGCTGGGTATCTAACTCAGGACCGTCTTGCTGCAAGAAAACGGTGCTACAAACTGTGCCACCGTGCATTCCTTATTTTGTCAACAGGTATGAAATTATGAAATCTTGTAAGGACAAGAATTTTAAAAATAACTTTTATTTTCCATTATATTTTACAAAATTTGTTTAAAAAAATAGAAAAAATATGCCACATTTTTTGTATATGTTTTTGTTATCACTTTAAGTGAATTTACTGTATTGAATTTATTCCCCTTCACAAACTGATGATTTTCTTAATGGATTCCTAGTCTCCTGCGAAATGCCTTGGACATGACCCCCTTGAAAAAGAAAAACTTTAAAAATAAAAAGCTAATGCAGATATTAACACTTTGAAGCAAAATTGCTAGGAAATTGGACCTACCTAGACCTACCTAGTCTAAAAAAAATTTTTTCTGCTGTATAAAATGACCCTTCATTAACCAAGAACAGCACATTTTTACTCATTAATAGAGGAGAATAAGAATGATTTATTTTAACACAGTTGCCAAACTCACCCATAGCCATAGCTCTGTTGAACTGTCCATCCCACCTGTTCTTAGCAGTAATGATTTTCTGGGATTCTTTATAAATAAGAGAGATTCTATAAAAAAAAAAAAAATAAGATATTTGGAGCCCTTCTAAATGGGATTTGTTTATCTTTTGAAGGTGAGGCAGCATATGAGATAGCCATAGAATCTGAATGTTGATCAGTTGTTCTTTTAGAGTTAGCAAAATTTTGTTTTTATCTAAGCCTTCAACTTGTATATTAGATCCATTTCCAACCAGGTTATTTAAGGAAGTATTCTCTCTGATTTCCAAATCCCTTTTAGTTGTGTCCCTGTTACAAGGATATTTACCTTAGGCTTTAAAGATAGATGTAATTAAACCTTTACATAAGAAACCGTCTTTTGACACAGATCGCTTGGTCAATTATAGACCTATATCCAATCTTCCTTTCTTATCTAAAATTCTTGAGAGAGTAGTTGCCAAACAAGTGTGCGACCACTTACACCATAATGAACTTTTAGAAGAGTTTCAGTCTGGCTTTAGAGCTCATCATAGCACTGAAACGGCTCTGGTGAAAGTCACTAATGATATTCTCATGGCCTTAGATAATGGACTTGTATCTGTACTTATCCTGATAGATCTCAGTGTTGCATTTGACAGAGTTTTATCATAATATTCTTTTTATAGGAATTAAAGGAACAGCACTAGGCTGGTTTAAGTCGTATTTCACTGACAGATTTCTGTTTTTTTCATGTTAATTAAAAATCTTCCTCATACTCCAGGGTTACCTGTGGAGTACCACAGGGATCAGTGTTAGGACCAACTTTAATATATATATGCTCCCAATCGGTAGAATTATTAGACAGCATGGGAATAATTTAATCTGTTATGCTGATGAAGATGAAGCTAACCCATTACATAGATTACAGGCATGTCTTGAAGACATAAAAACCTGGATGACTCTTTCTGCTCCTGAATACAGACAAAACAGAAGTTATAGTCTTTGGACCAGAGTCTTTGAAAAAGAAGCTAATTAGTCAGTCACTTCATTTTGATGGATTTAAATTGAACTCATATAGTAAAGTAAAAAAAAAAAAAATTTGAGTTTTTTTATTATTATTATTTAAATTCCCTATCAAAGAGGTTTCTTGAATTTCCTTCTTTCATCTGCGCAAAATTGCAAAAATTAGAAATATTTATATAGAATAAATAAAACTCGACACATGGTCAATTTCTTCTCATTAAACTGAATGCAAAACAGGCTTTCAACAAGCCATTATGTCTTGCAAAGGTATGTTGGTATATAGGGCTACAAATGAATAAGATTAAAATATGTATTTTTGGTGGGTTTTGTGTTTGCAGAAGGTCAACAATTTGTTGCTGTCTAATGCTAATGAGTGCATCTATCCTCCTTTGCATTGTTTTTCCTTTGCATGTGTTTTTTGTGCTAGTGTGTTAACTTAGTTTTTTTATTTCTGTCAGTAGCTTCTTTATGTTTGCATGACTGTTTGAGTTTGCTTTGACATCATTTATTTGCATGGTGTTTGCACCCTTCTGTAAACTTAATATTTATCTCCAAAGAGTCCTTTTATAAAATGTAGGTTATTAAAATGTATTGGTTATTATTATTGATTGCCAAATTTTGACAATCAAGTTTGTTGATGTCTCTCAAAAAACAAGTGTTTTTGCATTTGGCCCATTTTGAAAGCTTTAGTTGAGTATGACAGAGAAACAGTTATTGAATTGGAGAGAAATATCAGCCATGCTGCCGCTATCAACACCTTTGTTTATAGATGTTGGAGCTTGGCCTGTTGTTCAGTGTAGTCCTGCTCCTCTGACGGCGACTAACTGGTTGTGCTCTCTTTTATCTTCTGACATGGGAGCTGGCTCAGAGCTCGTCTGCCTGGCCGTAGCTGCATGTGGAGCTGGTTGACAGTTGTCTTTCATATATCTTCTTATTTCTGTATGTCTACTTCTGTCTCCTTAAACCCCAACCTCAGCAGATGGTTGTTCACACTGAGCCTCGTTCTGCTGGAGGTTTCTTCCTGTTATAGGGGCATTTTCCTCTCCATCGTTGCTACAGTACATGCATGCTTGGTGTGAGGGATTGCCTGCGAGTCAATGAGTCGAAGCAATCAACTGGTTTTCCTTAGATAAATAAAACTTTAAACCAATCTGGTTGTATGATCTGGATCATGCTGGTGCCTGATATGTTATAAATTGGCGCTTTAGAAATAAACTTAAATCAAATAAATTGAAATCTCAATTTTTCTTTTTCCCTCTCTGTTGTACATCTTACTATTCTCTCAGACTTGATCATATTAAAGCATTTGAAAGACTGATTTTTCTAAACCTGAAGAATGTCCATTATTAGTCAAATAATGAAAATTCAAGAAGTTGGCTAATGTTTTCTTGGGTTTTAAAATCATGCATATATTTTAATAAACACATGCAATACACACAGCTACATATGTTTCTTCTTCTTAGTAGACTCACAAAAACCTTTAAATCAGCAAATTTAGATGCATTGTCTATTCATGTTATGTTCCAGTTATCCACTAATTATTCATTCTGAGTGGTCAGCAAAAAAGACTTTGTAAATAACTATATGCTTTGTGAAGTTTGGGAATTAATTACTCTAAAACAAAGGAACCAGCAACACAGCAGTTGTTCTGCAAAGCACAGGTCTAAGGGATTAGCTGATTTAAGAAAATGTTTTACAAGCCCAACTACTTAAGTAACTAAGTAGTATTTGTCACTCTGCTTTTTATTTATATCCTACCTTGACCAAAAAAAAACCTACATCTTGTAGAGAAAAAAAACACCCTCTATCAATTCAATTATAAACAAATAGAGAAATTCAATGATACAAAGCCCTTTCCAATGTTTTGGATCCCAATAAAGATGCATG